TGTTGTGAGTTCCAGGCTAGTAGGCTATGTGTCAAGATTTTGTCTTAAAAAAACCAACCAACCAGTCCTGGGCTTGTTGCATGAGTTGGCTGTTTGAATCCTGGGACCTATGCAGGGACGCTTGGCTCGGTCTGGGAAGGGGGGACTGGACCTGGCAGGACTGAGTCTGCCAGGTCCATCCCGGTCCTCGGGGGAGACCATGATCTGGAGGGGGGGGAATGGGGGGGGGGGGGGGGGGGGGGGGGGGGGGGCAAGAGTGGGAGAACAGGGGAATCTGTGGCTATTATGTTGAACTGAATGATGTTGTAAAATAAATTTACTAAAAAATAAAAAAATAAAAAATAAAAAAAAAAAAACCAACCAACCAAAGGAAAGAAATCTAGGACTACTCCAGTAACCACAATGAGCTCTGTCTATAACAGTGCCATGAGTTAAGTGGGAACCGTTTCCTTGTGTTCTTTTTTTTGTTTTTTGTTTTTCAAGACAGGGTTTCTCTGTGTAGCTTTGCGCCTTTCCTGGATCTCGCTCTGTAGCCCAGGCTGGCCTCGAACTCACAGAGATCTGCTTGCCTCTGCCTCCCGAGTGTTGGGATTAAAGGCGTGTGGCACCACCGCCTGGCTTCCTTGTGTTCTTTTGTGCACTGTTTTTATTTATAATCCTCCCCCACCCCCACCCCCAAGAGCTGAGAACCGAACCCAGGCCCTGTGCTTGCTAGGCAAACGCTCTACCACTGAGCTAAATCCCCAACCCTATATAATCTTATTTTTATATATGTGTGTGTGTGTGTGTGTGTGTGTGTGTGTGTGTGTGTGTGCCTGCAGAGAGGAAATGGCATTGGATACCCTGAAACTGGAGCTAGAAATGGTTGAGATGCCTTGTGAGTGCTGGGAATTGAACCTGGATCCTCTGGAAGAACGACCAGTGCTCTTAAATGCTCTCTCTCAGGTCCCCTGTTGGGACTTTTATGCCTTAGATAGATATGTTTTAAAAATGTATGGCACATGCTGGGCAGTTATGGCGCAGGCCTTTAATCCCAGCATTTAGGAGGCAGAGGCAAGCAGATGTCTTAAATTCGAGGACAGCCAGGGCTACATAGAGAAATCCTGTCTTGAAAAGTCAAAAAAATACTGTATTTATTTATTTGTATATATATGTTTGTGTGAATGCCATGATACATATGTGGAAGATAGAGGACAACTTACTGGAGTCCGCTTTCTCCATCATATATGGGTCCCAGGAATACAACCCGTATGGTCAGGCTTGGTGGATTAGGGCCTATACTAGCTGAACCAACAACTTGAGGCCCTTGGTATGTACAATTTGTTTATTTGTATCCTGGACTTCCAACCCTACGCCTCTACCTTCCTGAGTGCTGGGATCACAGGCTTAGAGGACCACACCCCATTTTATGCAGTACTGGGGACTGAACCTAGAGCCTTTTGAATACCAAGCAAGCACTCTATCACCTTCACATCTCCAGTTCTTCTACTTCTTTTATTTCCATGTGTACTACCTATAAATGTTCATTTTGCTTGTGGTGCTGGCTGAGGATTGAACCCAGGGCCTTGACTATGCTAGGCACATGCCTAACTAAACTCTTTGTCAATGCTTTTTTTTTTTTTTTTTTTTGAATACAGGATCTCACCTTGTAGCTAAGTCCCTGCTGAATTCAGTATGTTGACCAGGTTGGTCTCAAACTCTGAGATTAGCCTGCTTATGCTTCCCTGGCTCTGGGATTGGAAGTGTGTGCCACCATGTCTGGCTCTTTTGCTTGGTTCTACTTTTATTTTGAGGCAGGATTTTGTTAAACTGCCCAGGCTGTTTTTGAACTTTCTCTGTAGGCCAGCATAGCCTTGAACTTGAGCCTCTGGCGTAGCTGTGATCACAAGCCTGGTCCAGTAGGCCCAGTCTTCTTTCCTATCTATCTATCTATCTATCTATCTATCTATCTATCTATCTATCTATCTATCTATCTATCTATCTATCTATCTCCATCTGTCCATCCATCCATTTTTTATTTAGGTAGCCCTGGCTGTCCTGAAACTCATGCTGTAGACCAGGCTGGCCTTGAACTCACAGAGATCCACCTCCCACTGCCTCCCAGTGCTGGGATTAAAGGCGTGCGCCCAGCTCATTTTTTTTTTTTTTTTAAGACAGTCTCCTCAAGTCACTAAGGCTGGCCTAGAACTCTGTAACCCAAAAAGCCCTCACACTCAGCCTCCCCTGCAGCTGGGAGCACAAGTCTGTGTGTGCTTCTATAGGCTGAGCTGCAGCCTGGCCCTTGACCTTCAGCAGAGACAGTTTAGGATGAGCAGGTTGGGGCTGGAGGTGTAGCCAAGATGGTCGAGCAGCTGCCTAGCATGCATACAGCCTATAACCATGAGCTGGGCGCAGTGGCACGCTCCTCTAACTCTAGCACTAAGATGAAAGACTATCAAAAGTTCAAGGCCAGCCGGGTGGCGGCGTTTTTCTTTTTTTCAAAAAGAAAAAAGAAAAAAAAAGTTCAAGGCCATCCCTTTTTACATTGAAAGTTTAAGGCCACTATGTTACAGGAATCTTGTCTTTAAAAAAAAAAAAAAGCAGCTACTGATGATTCTAGTCCTACTGACTTCATTGGTCAGTTTCAGTTCATTCTTGTACATGTCATTTTACAGCATGCAGCTGTATTCCTGCTTTCTCCTAACACCGGTACTCAGGGTTGAACAGCGTGCTAGGTAAGCCATCCCCACTGTGCTACAGCACTCCACACTTAATATACTGGTTTCTCCTTCACTTCATACCCAGCTCTCTGACTTTCCGTATCAACTGGTATCTTGTATTTTTTATTTTTTTATTTTATTTTTTTCCGAGACAGGGTTTCTCTGTGTAGCATTGCGCCTTTCCTGGAACTCACTTTGTAGCCCAGGCTGGACTCCAACTCACAGAGATCCGTCTGGCTCTGCCTCCCGAGTGCTGGGATTAAAGGCGTGCGCCACCACTGCCTGGCTCCCATTTAACCAAGGGTCAAATTTTTCATTCTTCGAAGACAGGGTCATAGGAACCCAGGCTGGCCTCACACTCTCCAGAATACAAGCTTAGACTACTAAGCCTACCACTTAGTTTGGGCCTGGATATTTATGACCCTCTCTGCAACTCAATATATTCCTTCCCTTAAAACAATTTTAAATATCGTGTATGTACTGACATACTTGTGGTTGGAGGACGACCTGTGGGCAGTGATCCCTCCTTCAACATGTGGGTTCAGAGGCAGGTCTTCAGGGTTCACAGCCTTTACCCACGAGCCAGCCAGCTCACCATCCCCCTTTTATTTTTAAGATTTAGTTAAGAATGTGAGTGTTCTATTTGCATGTATAACTTTATGCCAGAAGAGGGCATCAGATCCCACTAGAGATGGCTGTGAGCCACTGTGTTGTTGCTGGGAATTGAACTCAGGATGCCAGGGCTCTTGAACTGAGCTCTCTCCACCCCCATCCCCTTTATTGAAGTTCTTAAGTGTCAAATCCTCTGGAGCTGAAGTTTTGGGCAGTTGTGTGCTAAGAATCCAACTCTTCTTGGATTTAGAGCTTTTCTACAAATATGAGCTATCACTTTGGCCTTTTTCCTTCCTTTAAGGTTGAAAACTGGTTCAAATAACCTAAGTACATTACCAGAAAGCATATACTGCCCTCTGGTGCACAAACCCAGAATCACTCCTTAGGTTACAATAGAACACAAGACTCCTAACAGGAGTATTTGGGTTTTTTATTTTTAGATTTGATGTTTATATTTTGCCTGACTGTATGCTCTGTGCACCACGTATGTGCCTGGTGCTGGTGGAGATCAGAAGAGGTGGCTGGAGTCCCTCGAACTGAAATTACAGTTGTAAACAGTCATATGGGTGCTGGGACTGAAACCCAGGTCCTCTGCAAGATCAACAATCCCTAACTGAGCCATCTGCTCAGCCTTTCTGGAACTCTCACCTAACCAGAGCTAAGAGCCGTAATTAGTCCTGCTAGGCTATGTGGAGGGGTAGCTACGCTACTACAAGAGTCCTAGATGCTACTATAAGAATTGCAATTAAGTCTCCAGAGGCAGAGATCCAGGTAGGTCTGTGAGTTCAAGGCCAGCCAGAGCTGCAAAGCAAGGCCCAATACTGCAAGTGGCTAAGCTCCTGAAAAGGAAAGTGGCCTGTGAAAACCTGAGGAACCTCCAACATGTCTTTGAAGGCATGTTGTTTCTGACAGTTAAAAATACACAAGCCGGGCGGTGGTGGCGCACGCCTTTAGTCCCAGCACTTGGGAGGCAGAGGCAGGCGGATCTCTATGAGTTCGAGGCCAGCCTGGGCTACCAAGTGAGTTCCAGGAAAAGGCGCAAAGCTACATAGAGAAACCCTGTCTCGAGAAAAAAACAAAACACATGGATGGGGCTGAGGATTCAGCCTCAGTGGTAATGGTCCTGGGTTGGGGGGGGGGCGGATACACAGGGTGCAGATTAATACACAGAACGAGAAAAAAAAAAATTAAGCCCAGAGCTGGGATGAAATGTGACACAGGAAATGTAACTTTGCCCCAATCCAGGACTAGCTCAGATGTCTAGAGCAGTGGTTCTCAATCTATGGGTAACAACTCACCTTTATCTCCACATTATGATTCATAACAGTAACAAAATGTTATAAAGCAGCAACGAAAATAATTCTATGGTTGGGCAAGGGTCGTGGCATTAGGAAGGTTGATAACCACTGCTGTGGAGGGAATAGACAATAAACCTATTCAGGACAGTCACCCTAAGGGGCACCGCTACACCAAAAACCGTTAGAGGGTTAAAGAGAGGACTATTCGACACAGGTTTCTGCTCGTTTAGACTCTAAATCCCACTGCACAGGGTAAAGGTGACCCCAACTCTAATTGGAGCGAGATGGATCCAGGGCTCCAGCTTTGGTGGCTCTGCAAGGATTGGGGCAGAGTAAGAATGCAGCGGCTCCGAGCCCCAGTACGGAAGGAAAGAGGTTCTCGACACCTTCATGCACAGAAACTGCTTTTCCAACTTTTATTTAGAAAACCAAATCCAGGTTCTGGTGCCCCCCATCCCTCCCCCACCCCAGCCATAATTTAAATAACTTAGAGACAGAGTGGGAGGGGACAGAACAGGAGGAAGGAAGGAAGAGCCCACTACAGTCGCCTCAGTGCCCGTTTCTTGTCCAGCTTCTTCTTGGCTGCCAGCTTCTTCTCGCGCTCGCCTGCATGCTTCTTGGCCATGGGACCCTCAGCTCCTCCTGGGGCCATAGGGTCAGTGGAGGCTGTGGCCCCACTTGCCAGGTCCCGGGCAGCCTCACCCCTGCCACTGCTGGTGCCACCTGCACCCCCATGGATCTCTGTGAGCAGACGGGCCCGGGCAGCATACTCTTCATAGTTCTCCAAAAGCAGGCGGCCTGCTTCCTCGTTGAGTGCAGACTCTGGGTTAGGGTGGATCAGCAGGCACTTGATGGTCTGTGGGGAAAGGGCCGAGGGTCAGGGGGACGTACCCAGATTCATGGCCTCCACACTGTATCTCCCCTTCAATCCCAAATCATCCCCGAGATCACAAGCCTCTTTCTCAATTATGTCGCCATTAAAGGCTGTTTTCCTGTTATGCAGCCTGATTTATCAGTCCCAGCCACTTTCTGTAGCTAATGGAGCTTTGATCTTGCCCTATACCGGTGATCATGAGTTCAGAGTTAGTAATCAGGGGGACTAAGGGCACTCAGGATTGGAGAACTCACATTTTTTCCCCCTGTCTTCCACCCTACTATGTAGGGGTACAGAAACCTAAAGTGATCATTGGCTTTACCAGGAATGCCAAGTCGCCAAGTTCAGAGTCATAGATTACACCCAAGAGGGAAAAACACTAGAGTAACCATAGGCCTTAAGAATTGTGTCTAGCAGGGTGGTGGTGGCAGCGGCGCATGCCTTTAATCCCAGCACTTGGGAGGCAGAGCCAGGGAAATCTCTGAGTTCAAGGCCAGCCTGGTCTACAGAGTGAGATCCAGGTCAGGCACCAAAACTACAGAGAAACCCTGTCTCAGGTGGTAGTGGGGATTGTATCTATTTAATCCAGTTCATTCTAAATGTTAGTTCAGATGAATGATGAATAAAAGTTAATCCTGAGCTAGTTGATGGTTAACAGGTACGTCTAAGAGCTTCTGTGACACATCTGAGTTAGCAGATGTTCAAAAGGGACACAGTATCTCCCTGTCAGAGTTTACCACTGACTGCACCTCCAAACTGGAGGCCTGGCTGTCCTCGATAGAGGCTTAAAAGCAGACCCCATAGCCCGACAGTAGTCCCAGCACTGTGGAACAGAACCAAGTTTAACTGACATCCAGAGGAAGGCAAAGCAGGAAAGGTTTGGGGGTTGTTTACCTTGGAACTTAATCCTCTCCAGGTGCCCTGAAGGAAACCCCAATTCTCTACCTTCACTACCATCAGCCCTAGAGGCTCATTAGAGATAAAAAAAAATTCAAGTCTATGGGAGGGGCAAAGGAGGCACCAGGTGACCTAACTACTAAAGTGGCCTTTAGAGACCTTGGAACACTGGCCTAGACCTGACCATTATCTCCACCTCAACTGACTTGGGAGAACTGTGGTACAGTCCTATACATAGCAGATGCTTAATAGTGTCCCCTGCCTCCACTCACAACATGCCAGCAGCGGTACTTACAACCAAGCAAGCATATCTCCTGACACTACAAAATGTCCCAGGCAGTGTAACCACCCCCAGCTAAAAAAAACACTAGTACAGGAAAACACATTTGAATTATAGACAGTAGTGATGGTTGCAGGCACTGTTTAAAAAACACCCTGGAAAAGCCAACCCCCCCCCCAAACTAGCCCCCAAACTACACAACAAAACCCACTCTACTTAGCTGAATAGCGTGGCACAATCTTGTAAATCTAGCTTTTGGGGGAGTTTGTCTCATTACCCACATGCTTGGCTCAAAAGATTAACAACTATGGCTGGAGGAGGACAAGTCCAAGGGCAGTTTGGGCTAGTAAGCAAACACTTTAATTGTATCAACCTACAGCTGTTGAGTGTGGTGAGGTAGGTGCCCACCCCTTGACACTGCAGAACAGAAGTGGTGCCATAGGGCTAGCTTTCAGAAAGGCTGGGAACTTGATTTTTATTTGACTGTGCCTATTCACAGCTGATTTTTAAAAACTCAACAAGGCACTGTGGCTGAAACTCACCAGCAGCACATGTCGGATGCCCAACTCAGCCGTCCAGTCCCTCTTGAGTACGTTGACACAGATCTCACCATTGGCACCCACATTTGGGTGGAAGATCTTAGTCAGGAAGTAGCCCTTGGGTGGGGAGGCAGGGAAGTCCTTGCCCAGCAGGAGCTTCATGCGGAACAGACCTCCAGCATAGGGGGTCCCCTCTGGAAGAGAGGACGGGAACTAGGTTAGGATAGCCTAGCATCCTTCAACACCTCAACATCAGTTTTCTGGATCTGGCTGACGCAGATAGCCTGTCAATCCCTTCACCAGGCTGGGGAAATTTAGGGCAACAAACAAGCTTCCCAGGCACTACAGCCAACATGTCTTTATGCTTTGACTATATTATATGCCCTGCTCTACAGCCCACACCCCTGGATTCCTGGATATCCATTTTCTTTTCCAAGGGACTGTCTCAGGCACATGCCAACTCTTCAAGACAAAGGAACCCACCCACCAACTTTTCTTGCACACCATTTCCCAGGCCCTTTCCAATCCTCACGAGACATGTTTTCATCTACCTACTTGCCTTGATTGAAAATCATAATCATAGATGTTCTACCCACTTACTACGTAAGTGTGGAGCAGCCCAGGCAGACTCCACACCCCAGCACTATAGACCTGACACTTCATGGAATCTTCAAACACCCTAGCTGACTTTGTAGAAATTCAGATGACAAATGAGGTCTGAAAAGAAAATCTCAATCAGTTTATCGCTACCCATTTCCCTCACAATGCCGTCTTGTTTGCTCTGCAATGCGTCCAGACACTGGACAGCTTAAAAGTGTCTCAGACCATCTGGATCACCTGGTGCACTTTCTGTTCCTATTAAATTTCTATGCATCCTCAGGTCCCTGGAGAGTCACGCATGACAGTCTTGGCCCAAGCCTAGGCAAGAGCTCTATTACATGCTCAGTGACCAGGAACTTCTTGACATATTTGTTGTGATGTCCCAGATATAGTTCTCACGGGCACAATGCTGCTGACCTACCCACACGTTGTCACCAGCACCTGAGATTGCTGGAATCCACAGTCACAGACAGACAAAAGTGGCCCCTCCCTCTCGTGCCCATGCCCACACTCACCGGGGCCCTCGATGGTGACCTGCAGGTCCGTGAGATCCTCCTCATTGGGGAAGACTTTAATGCCGTCAGGTGGGTCCGCTGTGAGTGTGGTCACCTCCTTGTACACTAGGCGGATGATGTGCGGAGGCAGATTCTCCACGTTGGAGTTCTGGGCAAGGAGGGAAAAGGAGAATGAGCAGCCCGAAATAATCTGGGGTTAGAAACTCGGTGGACGCCAGAATCGTGCCCTTGCTGGTTCCGGGCTGTCAATCATCGCCGATCAACTAAACCCTCACCCCGGATGCCTCAGACTGTCGCCTGCCCTAAGGCTAGCCGGCCCGTAGATACGCGAGAGATAGTCTCGGAAACGGCTTCCAGGCGGCTTCACGTCTTCAAACCCCCCCAAAGACCCGCTCATTAAGACGCGAATGGTGTCCACTAGTAGTACTAGGTGGGCCTGAGGCCTAGCCTGTACCCTTCTCCCTGCTTAGCCTTGAACACACACACACCCTCCCCCCGCAAAAGAAAAAAAGAAAAGCCCTAGGCGAAATGGCGGCGGGATGTCTTGCTCCTGAGAACATCCATGGGCGGGCCGAAAAGGGGCCCACAGCGCTCCCCAAGGCCCCAAGGCCCGCCTGCTCTCCTGCAGCG